GGATCGGGTAGGGTGCGAAATTCATTCTCCACCACCCGATTGTAGATGCCATCAAGGAGGGCGGTGGCAACATCTTCACCCTTGTCAATGCCACGATTGTTGTTAATGAAGTCGACTTTTGTCATCGGTTTGCTGTATTTGCGTGCACTACGATTGTAGAAGGTGGTGTGAAGCAGCATAATGGAGTAGGCCAAAATGCCAATAGTCTCGGGATCTCGAAACTCCCTTCTAACCTTTTCTGCATTCTGTTCAATGTAGCAACACTTGAGTACATTCAAAAGGAATTCAATCTTTTGCGACTCTCCATCTGGATGCACTTTTTCCAACAATCGACGCAATGCCACATCCACCTCCACTTGATGCAAATTCAAATGCCTGACAAATGCCTCTGTCACCTTGACTGCCAATGGATCAGACAATTTGCCAAAGTATTCTCCAATTGCTTGTCTACTTAGACCGTCCATGGTGAGGAACTCGGCTATTGTCTTCGGCTCGGTGGAGAGAATTCCCTGTTTTATTAAATAATCTATCCCTAAATACGGATTCCTACGAGACAAAAAAAAGCAGTCCATTCATCTGAAATGAAGGAGGAATGTGATGCTAAACCAACTTACTTATTAAACAGCGTTTTGCCAACTCTAAGAAGCATCTCTTTTGACTTGGAAAAGTTGGTTGGTGTTAGCGGCTCGGGGAAGAGGTTTGACGTTGTGGCTGTGTTCCTGTCGTGGAATTCACTCCTCAAAGTGGGGTATATGGGTAATTCGGATGCTGTGGTTCTACGATACCCACTAGCACTGCCCTCCATTGGCATAACAAATGAGTATTCATCGAGGATGACATCGTCGGTTGGAAGGTAGTTTCCTTCCTCCAGTTGAGCACTGCGTGATCGTTTGGAGTCACTGCCGTTGCAATAGTGACGCGCATTGATGCGTTCAGAGGGCGACCTAAGGATGAAAGAGGAAGAGAGAGACAGAGAAAAGGAGAAAAAAAATGTGTTTTTTAGTATTTAGTGAATGTGAAGAACTCCACTTCTCTGCTTTTTTTTTTCACTCACACAATTTCAGTCACTCTTTTACTTCGGAGGCGGTGATTACCTCGTATGGGTCTAGCCGACAAGAGGGACAGTCTTCGAGCCGCTGTAGTGATAAGTTTTGGTTTCTTTGCAATTGATAGATTCACCTCTTCTGTCTTGGCAATGGGTGCTCTTTTTAAGACCAATGGCGACTGATTGGTAGGCATGATGGAAATCAGAGATAAACTCACCAGAGGCTCATGTTTTGTCTCACCACCACCACCACCATCACCACCACTGCCACGACCTTCCTCTCTGCTCTCCTGGCTGAGGGATTTACGACGTTTCCAGGTTTGAAATGACAATCGTGTTTTTCTTGTCGCCTCAAGAGTCCTGCTTTCCGATGGCATTCCACTCAGACGACGCATCAATTTATTCATGGGTGTGGCTAAACTGCGACGGCTAGTGGTGACCTTTTTGGATGGTAACATCACGTCGTTCGCCTTATCCGCCTCCTTTGCCATGATTTCACACCCAATGCGTACTGAGCCCCCGTGTCCAAAATGAGGTAAATTTATAGCCAAAAACTAGCTACCAATCAGAATGGAGGACACATTCATTAACCAATCAGGAGAGGGGATTTCTAGCCATGTAAGTGGCCACGTGCCTGTTTGCGTGTGTGTGTGTGTGTCTGATCAGCGCTTGAGACTCAAGTAGTTGAAAGCGTTGAAAGGACTTAAACCAAATCAAATTTACTCAGTTCTGACGCCTATTAATAATTTTAGCTTTATGGGTCCATAACTGGTGACGGTGTGATCCAATCAAAGGGATTGGATCAGCGAAGGAAGTCCAAGTGTTCCGTCTGACAACCTCTCCTTGAAAAGTAACAACCACACGTGAAAAAAATCACCCCGATTTAAGGCGCATAAAGTAAAATATTAGAAAAAGGACGATTCGTAAGAGTAGGAGACTGTCTACAACCGACTGGTTAATCCTTGCAGTGAGAGCAACTGTGACGAAACTTCATCACAAAGAACACAATTCCAAAATAGGAATTTCATGGTAATGTCCAGAAAAAAAGCAGAGGAATGTGAGAATTGTGTGTAAGTATTTTACACAGAATTTACACGAACAACGATAGTAAGGAATCTCAAAAAATTGGGCTACCATTTGTGTCGCTACTACCGAAGTGGGAAGTATCCCGACGTCTACGATGCTTGTTCTGTTGCTTGTGGAAGGCGTAGCCAAAAGCAACGGCTTAGTTTAGCCGATTGAAAGTTTCATGCATCAGCAATGGGAACTTCAGTCAGATAGTTAACCAGTTGGCGCATTAATGAACGCATGGAGGCCGACATTTTGATTCCCGTCTATCATGAAAGTAGTACACTTGTAGCCCAGTCCGGCCAAATCCTGAATGAATCAGTATGTTTTTTTGTGGCTATGGTGACTTTGTTCGGAGGCCCCTTTGCGCATGCATCACCGCATGGGAGACAGACGGACACAGGCGTGGCGAGAGCGAGAGAGAGGCAAATGCATTCACGTGCCCAGACGGACACACAAAGGGCGGTCTGAACATTGAAGTGTGTTGAGCACCGAATGCAAACCAGCACATATGAACTGTTTACTCGATGACCCCCTGACCCTGCCAACGCACTGCGGGTGGTCTTTGTAAGTGGATGATAGAGGTTAGGGGTGATTTGGGTGTCTGAAACGGTCCGCTTTGAGTGGCCACGTGTTAATCCTGGAAAGAGGATGAGGTGGTTAATTAGCTGCCGCGTGTGAATGATTGCGGTTTTATGGTCAGTGCTATTGAAGGGTGGCCTCATTTATGGTGGTGATTTATTGCTAAAATTGGAGTATAGTTTTTAGGTTGGTTGTGTGTTGAGCAATTTCATTCAAACTATTGTCACAGTTAAATTTTAGCAAAAAAATATTCAAATAAAATCGTGCATTTTTAGTGCTAGCCTCGAAGTAAACGTGGCTTGAAGTTGCAAAGAATTTGGATAGACACCAAGTCCGCTATAAAGGTCTAGGGACTGTATACTTGTTGCTGTTCTCGTCATCCATGTGCAATTTTTTACAGTGTCGGTTTGGCTGACCTGTGAATATAAACAGTCTTTGAAAACGTGCTATCCTCCAGCTACTAAATTTCCCTTTTCCTTTGAGTAGGCCAGTCGAAAACTTACTTGTGCCCTCCATTTGGTAAACTTGAACTGGGATCACCCTTAAATACAACGCATAACTTGTTGACTTCTGAATCTCAAACAGCATCTAGATCTCTTGCGGAATAGAAGTGGAGGCTGAAGGAAGATTGAATTGTCTTTGCATAAGTCAGGCAAAAGGAAGCGAAAGCCAAGGGGTACCTTATGTCACCCACTCCATATTATAACTTAGCACGTTCTCATTCCACTTTCTCCTCTTACGGTTCCTTTTTAAGGTTTAAGCTTCTCCTTTGCAGCAGGGGAGACAAAACAACATTAACTCGATAAGATCGCCCGAAAATTAGTGACCTGCGGGCCTCCATAACATTTTAACCTGTTATGAAAAACTCGGAGTTCCGGTTACCTACTATCCTGCAATAAAGGATGTTAATAAAAAAGCAAAATCAGGCATTTGCGGTTATTTTAGATAAATAATGTAGATTATTTTGCATGCTATTGCAGCTTTGCTTAACATTCGATTAACCATAATTTTAATTTGCTATCCAATATTTATGCCAGTAAATTTAGCTAACATCCTAATTAATAGTCATTCTCACAGTACAGACTTGCCGCTCTTAAATCGTTAGTCCGAGGCGAAACTTCATCCACAAAACGCTGATATCCAACAGTGAAAATTTTCCACATACATCTCAAATATCTGAACAACAGTGTGTGATGGCCTTTTTGCCAAACGACATCATGTGTAAATGTTAATGTATCAAAAATTTCAAGGTCCGTGCTGTTTGCGGTGCAATCAAACTTGGGAACAGACCTAATGTTGCAGTTAGCGGTTGTGTTGGGTGAAAGGAGTGGAAAGCCGTTCAATTACCTAATAGTATGCACTACATAACTTTCTTGAATTTGTAATTTGAAGAAGAGCACCAACTATCGTTACTCAATTACGGTGGTTATTTAAGGATTTGAAGGCAAAATCTATATTTCGTAAATTCTTATTTTAAGTTCACTTAAATATGAAGCTTTTACAATAGTGTGCGTTTTAGAATATTTTTTGTAAATTTGTTTCTTCTGGCAAAACATGGGCTAGAAGTAGTTTAACGTAATAGAATGCCGTTGTTTATGGGATACATTGCTAGAATCCATTAACTGTAAACTGTGGGAAAAAACTCTGACGTTAAAACCGCTTGCCTATCACGTTTAAATTTTTGCTTTCTTTTAGCTACGAAAGGGATGGGAAATTACGGGAATAACTTGCTTCCTTTTTCGTTGCTTTAAGTTGGAAGACGACAACCACGAAAACAACAACTACTAGTAATTCCCATTCACAAGTCAGAAAATCAGCATGCGAACTCGTTTGCGCGCCTCATCTTTTATCAGAATGCGTGTGAAAGTAGTGATCAGCATAAGATTTCCTTCTCACTTGCATTTAAAATTACCAGGACTTGTTTTTCCCAAAGTTGGCACCAATCATTTCAAGGTGTCAACATCCACAGATTATCCACCCATTCCTTCATAAAATCAAGCGATACAAATAAATATTCTCGGGTAATTCGTACAAAAATCTAATATTGTAGTAATGAAATTCTAACTTAACCTGTGCCATAGATGAGCAGAACTTCTTTCTCGAAAATGCCATCATTTGTGAATGTGAGATGTTTAATGCGAAAAGTTGGAATGGAATGCATTGTGGGGCACTCAAACTGACTCATCTACCCAATTTCTACCTATCCCCTCTCTGTATGCAAGTCACGCGAGGTCATTGCATCAAGCTACATTGAGATCGCATGATCGTTGTGCGCACTCGACAGCTGAAAACGCCCTTTGAACACACTCACTTCTTCCAACTTCATTTTACATCATTTTCGAAGGAGTATGCGAGGGCACTTGCTGACACATGGAAAAGACATGCGTACAAAACACTGTAAGTTGTTAAAGACAAGATAGAATGTGCAGGAAGGATGGTTTCGGTTGACAGATGGCCATTGAAAAAGGGTTCTCCAACCTCGTGAATAGATTGCAATCTTTAAATTCACCACGTGGTGATGGTGGCCATATGTTCACTTTAGTGAATAGATAAATAGGACTAGTCTTTATGAAAAGGGGGCTTGAATGTTGGAAGTGAGCTAGTCATGTGGCATGTGGATGGTAAAAATTTAAGATGGTGAATAATGGAATGCGTTAAATGTAGCCATTGGAAGGCGTTCCACTCCGACAGGTGCCATGACAGGAAGAGGAAGGGGTATGGAGAGGCTAAGATGGTGGATCGCTTCCACCTCAACTACTAGTGGAAAGCATTGAGAGAAGATTGCCGCTACGGGTCAGTCACCTCCAATGTGATCAAATAAGCTGTGGCGTTAGGACAACCAGTCTCCCACCCTCTACCAATGCACGAGATTAACTCAACAGTGAGGGGCAAAAAACGCAGGATGACTCAGTTGGAAAATCACGTCTTAGGAGAGTGAAGAAGGCTGATTAGGCAAGGGACTGAGACGGGGTGGGTCTAGTAAGTGGACGTGAGAATGCTGGATGTTTGAAAGACCTTACAACTCATTGTTTGAGAGGTCTTACCATAGCAACTGACACTAAATGGCTCATAAGAGATGCCACGTGGTGTAGACTGGCCATTCGACCAATAAATGTGAGGAGAAGCTATTGTCGAGTTGTTTTTTTTCGTTACTCCTGTCCACTGAAAGCATTACTGAGACCTTCGACATCTCCTACACCACCATCTTTTCAGTAAATTAGTTACATTCTTTTTAATTTGTCATGAGGTATTTTGAAGTAATGCCTGTGTTTAGCTGCACTACCCCGAATTTTGGTTCAACGTTGGAAAAACACGACAGATGCGTGGAGCTAATGGCAATGCGGAACTGACGAAAGGGGTAGAGAGGAGACGAGGTCTGCGTTCTGTAACAGCTGTTCAGATCGCTGCCAATGCACATCGGTGGGACAGATTTCTCCCGCCCCCTTCACGTGTACAAGCTGGTCTTCCCCTTTTGACCTCTGAACTTCCCTCCCTCTCCCTCTCCAGATGGTTTTATGGCATTGGGGAGAGTTTCAATGCCTATGTAATTCTCTCCCAATTTTTACATGTTGAAGGGACAGTAACTTGACACTGTCTACATGTCATTTGGGTTGTAACACAGACAAATATTGTCAGTGATTGGAAAGGCCTACAGACGATAGTAAAGACGTCTCCAATTCAAGCTTAATCTGAACTTTGAATGGATAGACTGGTCACAGCTTCCACTGGTGAATATTGTCGTTTTGACCTCTTTATTATCAAGTTCAATCGTCTATGAATTTTATGATAGGTGTTGATGCAGTGACCAGTTCCACCGACACAGCAATAGAGACTTTTAAAG